TTTGTGCATAGAAATATTTAATACATAGTCTATTACGTGATTTGGCATACAGTTTGTCATAGAAATATTTAATACATAGTCTATTACGTGATGTCGGTATACAGTTGTTCATAGAAATATTTAATACATAGTCTATTACGTGATGTCGGCATACAGTTGTTCATATAAATATTTAATATATAGTCTATTACGTGATGTCGGCATGCAGTTGTTTACAGAAATATTTAATACATAGTCTATTACGTGATGTCAGCATACAGTTTTTCATAGAAATATTTAATACATAGTCTATTACGTGATCTCGACATACAGTTGTTCATAGAAATATTTAATAGATAGTCTATTACGTGATGTCGGCATGCAGTTATTCATAGAAATATTTAATACATAGTCTATTACGTGATGGCAGCATACAGTTGTTTACATAAATATTTAATACATAGTATATTACGTGATGTCGGCATGCAGTTGTTCACAGAAATATTTAATACATAGTCTATCACGTGATGTCGGCATTCAGTTGTTTACATAAATATTTAATACATAGTCTATTACGTGATGCCGGCATACATTTGTGCATAGAAATATTTAATACATAGTCTATTACGTGATTTGGCATACAGTTTGTCATAGAAATATTTAATACATAGACTATTACGTGATGTCGGTATACAGTTGTTCATAGAAATATTTAATACATAGTCTATTACGTGATGTCGGCATACAGTTGTTCATAGAAATATTTAATATATAGTCTATTACGTGATGTCGGCATGCAGTTGTTTACAGAAATATTTAATACCTAGTCTATAACGTGATTTGCAGTTGTTTACATAAATATTTAATACATAGTCTATTACGTGATTTGCAGTTGTTTACATAAATATTTAATACATAGTCTATTACGTGTTGCCGGCATACAGTTTTTCATAGAAATACGTAATACACAGTCTATTACGTGATGTCGGCATACAGTTGTTCATAGAAATATTTAATAGATAGTCTATTACGTGATGTCGGCATACAGTTGTTTACAGAAATATTGAATACATAGTCTATTACGTGATGTCGGCATACATTTGTTTACAGAAATATTTAATACATAGTCTATTACGTGATGTTGGCATACAGTTGTTTACAGAAATATTGAATACATAGTCTATTACGTGATGTCGGCATACATTTGTTTACAGAAATATTTAATACATAGTCTATTACGTGATGTCGGCATACAGTTGTTCATAGAAATATGTAATACATAGTCTATTACGTGATGTCAGCAAACAGTTGTTTACAGAAATATTTAATACATAGTCTATTACGTGATGTCGGCATACAGTTTTTCATAGAAATATGTAAATACACAGTCTATTACGTGATGTCGGCATACAGTTGTTCACAGAAATATTTAACACATAGTCTACCATGAACTCTACTTTGGCCGAAACGTCCGCCCTTGTCGAAACTCTTGCCCGAAACATCCGCGGCCGAAACGTCCGTCCACCCATTTGAACAGGATGTCATTC